GTTACTACTCCTCCTCTCTCTCTCTCTCTCTCTCTCTCTCTCTCTCTCTCACACACACACACACACACACACACACACCACACTTCCCTCTACATTTATGTGCTACTGCATATGCAGTTTATCAGTTGCGCATGCATAAATAGAAGGAAAATTGTTTCATGAGGGCTGGACCGCATGAATAGATAAGCGGTCCAAAAAGTGTAAAGCATCCATCTTAAAGATGGATGCAAGTAGGTGTTCCATCTAAAAACAATGGAAACTAACGGTCCAAATGTTTTCTTACAAGAATTATTATTCCTAGTTTTTAAAATTTACTTATTTTTTCATGTTCATAATCTCGATGTTAGAAATTTTGTCCTTAAAAATTAAGTCTAAAAAATCCATCTCAAAAGTAGATTTATTAATAGGCCCACATTTCTACATATGCGCGCTTGTCCGCATAGAAACCGGGTCCTATATAGAATAGTTAGCTCAAGTAGCTCAGCGAGCAAACCATGTGGCCACACCATCCATGCATAATTGCTTTTTTATCATAACTGCATGAGTGCACACACACATCTCTAGTCCATAGCATGATTTCTTTTTCTTCTAATTGCTTTCTTGAACATGTTGCAGGAGGTATAATTCAGAAAGGTATACAATGTGCAATATAAAAAGGAGGAGAGATGTATCCGGTGAAGGTTTTGCAGAAAACTTCACATTACCTCAGCCATCAGATGTCAGAAAGGGACAGCAAAGGTGTGTCATTCCTCCACTCAAAGTCAAACTATTCATAGGCTTTGATTGGTTGAACGACACACCCCAGCCATCCTGTGTGGACATCAGATGGATGGGATCATGTGGAACTTCAGACAAAAACTTAAAACTGCATTCATTCTGAGATGAACACTTTTAGATCCCCCTCTTAGTCAATAGGCAACTAATGAGGATATGCATAGCAAAGATAAAAGACACCATATATAAGTTGTTAAATTGCACAAAATACTGCATATCAACGACCATTATACCTCAGGACAAGATAACAAGGCCAAGGTACATGGCTCCACTAAGAAATATAAGTGATATGAATCCCCTGCAAAGAAACTTTCTTTCATCAGGCAGTGCAATCCAAAATAATTTCAAATCTGCCAAGATAAAATGTATTCGGCAATGTGTGCATGTGTGTTGTATCCAGACTCTTCAAGAGCAGCAAGTTTATTTTAACAGTGACCCTCACCAAATGACCCCCCATGCAACACCATTGCAAGGACAAGGGCAAAGTTCAGCAAACTTTTCCGCATCACTGGAGTGGACCCTTCGAGATATTAAATCGTCATAAATATCTGAATTCCATATTTACAACATGGAGTTAGAACGTAGGAAACCTTATTATACATGGAGCAGAGAAGTTCGTTTTCTACAAATCTTCCAAAAGCACTAGGGAATATTAAATAGAAGCTCAGAAACACCCATACCATAAACTGAAAACAAGCTGTTCATTACACCTGTGATTTATGATATAGTTCATGTCAGAAATACAAAACACAATCAAGAAGACCTAGGCCCAAGTCCTAGTCCAATATATTAATTAGGGACATGCATTAAAAAAATAACTCATCAAACAAAACAACAATATTAGTAAATTACCAAACACAAAGAAAGCAATCAGAGCTTGCAGTATTGTACCTATGAACAAGATGATATACCGAAGCAAACGAACCTTTGTTGTCTCTTGCAAAAGCCATATTATTGCAAGAAATATAATGAAACCTGTACAAAGAGTAAAAAAATAAAATTATGAAATTAAAAATACAGAAGACCAAAATCATAAATGATTTCAAAGGGGCAAAAAATGACAAAACTTGAAAAGAATTTGAAGGTTGCTAAGACCGTACCAATACAAAGTCCCCGAAGTGTCCACTAAATGGCCAGAAGTCAGAGGAAGCCAGAAAATATATAAAGAAAAGAGTTAGCAAGTCAACAGCAGCACATAGGCAGTAACGTGTGGTTGTGTCTGTGTGGTGCAAAATAATGTCCCTTATAGAAACCAAATGGGATTTCAACTTCCGGCCTTTATTCAAATCCATTTAAAGGTTTGAAGCATGGTTACCAGAAGGCAGAAGCGCATATGTGGGATGAGAAGCGATTCTAACTTTAAGTATGTAAAGCATGTAAGAATGGCATGTGAAGCATCTGCCAAATGTATGTAAAGCGCATGTAAAGTGAAAGATAAAATGGTGTAACTTTATGTGAAACGTTCAGGAAACATTTGTGAAACTCAGAAGGGACTTCGTTGGTATTTTAGATTTGTTTAGTATTTCAGTCATTTCTAATGGGATCATGAATTGAGGTGGTCCTTGAACCATTAGAAAGCTTGTTAAGCCCTATAGGTCATGAGATAAGAGTTTAGATTCATGTTCGTGTAATATGTACAAGAAACACCAAGTTGTAGTGTGTGTGTGTGTTTGTGAGTGAGTGTGTGCGAGAGAGAGAGAGAGAGAGAGAGAGAGAGAAAGAATATAATAAGCTAAAGTGAGTTACTACATTGTGTATGTCTGTGTACCTTCAATGTGTAAGAGTAAATGTGTGTGCATGTAGAGAGAGATAGAGAAACGGTAAGTCAGTGAAATATCACATTTGTATATTGTCTTACTCGTATATTGTCTTTAACACTTCTAATTTCCTCCATAAACCGATCTCAAAATGTTTCCTGACACAATTGTTTACTCGCTTCTCTATCACTTCCCATACTCAAACATGCCAAATAAGCATTTTTCCACATGTTTCTCAATGAGTTCTCGTAATGCTTTATATAAGTGTTTCACTTCTTCTCATTTTCCCAAATTTTTGAGCCACATTTCTCCTTTCGGTTCCAGCACTCGTTTCTCATCCTAGTAACTATAGTTTGGGGAGTCTACAGGTATCCTTTCACCCCCACAGAGCATTTTAAAGCCTTGAAACTTCCATTACTTGAATGCTTTATAATCTCTTTTTAATTACTTGAACTTCCCAAATATTTTCTTAAATTTCTTCAGAAATTTTTCTCAAGAATGACCTGGTGGACTCAAGACTTGGTCAGTTAATTTGATTTGGGTTATCATAAACTCCATTTATTTGCTTCATGATTCACTCTTTAACATAGGCCAACTCCAAAATAGAGTTGCATACTGTGATGGTACTTACATTTTTGGCAACAAAGAGGACAATCACCAATGCAGCGCCAAAACACCCTGCTGCAATTTTTGCAGTGAGAAGATTTGTGGATGCCAGCACAAATACCATTCCCCAAAATGACGAACCCAGATCTGAAATAAGAAGCACAGGTTTATATAATTTTGACAATATTGTCAATAAACTACATTCTTTACTCCCCAATTTCATGAGTTGCTACCAAGGGTAAGGATACAGCATAAACATCCTGCACATATTATACCATACAAATGCAGGGTACCCTCCATCTGTTCTCATAATGGATGGTGAAGACAAATCATAGTTCCAGGTGAATGTTTGTTACCAGAACTACAGTTCATCTCCACCATTCACTGTTAACAGTGGACAGCGGAAGCTGCGGAACTCTGCCTAAGTATGGTGTCCCATGCATAGAATGAGTTTGGAATGTATGGAAACTAACCTAAACCCAATCCTTGATACATAAAAATACTTGTATTATAACAGGGTATAATAAAATTAATGTTGATGCATATGATAAAAGGAAATGGAAAGAATGATAAGAAGTATTACATCCAGCAGGCAAGATCACCCAGTATATACCACCACGTGTTTGTGTCACACCACCTTCATTTGCATGGACCTGAATCCCCTCAACCTGCATAATATGTTATGTCACTTACGTAAAATAACAAATGATTGATTTACAATCATTGGGTTTATAAAGTAAGATAAAGCATAAAGTTGCAAGAATATGCACAAGGGTAATTTGCAAGAACAGAGTGTGTGCTAGCATCACCAAATACAAAATTTCCGTTTATTCACTCAAACGAGTAAGCATGCCCACACATAAATATTAGCTAGCGCACACATGTGAAAGGGCAAAATGTGTTCTAAACACAGACACAACTGCTGCCATGCTCAGTAAAGTAATGAATGCCATGCTCAATAATGAATGTGTTCTAAACACAGACACAACTGCTGCCATGCTCAATAAGTTCGAGGCCGCCGCCTAGGTGGTTGGGGGGGCCGGGCTGCCTAGGCGCTAAGGCAGGCGCCCAGATCCCAAAAACCGGTGACTTTTTCTTAAAAAAAAAAAATTGGATCCTCCACACCTTCCCCCATTTTATGATATATAAAATTGCCTATTGTATTATTTAATAAGTTTTGTATGTAATATATTGTTAATATGCCGAAAGCACAAATCAAATAATAATCCAAGATTCCAAATAGACAATAACATATCAAATATATATGACAAAGTATCAAAGGAAAATACAAATAGCAAAAAATAACATCATTAGACATTAAGGGAAAAAAATACAAAACCTAATGAAAACTATTGAAATATACCAACCTTCTGGAAGTCAGGCCAAACTGAAATGTTTGGGATCCTAAATCTCCTCTTTTACAACACTTATAAGCCCCAAAAAGATTGAGAATGAATATCCTTTAATATCGTGACCATATTCGAGGATTTCGAAAAAAAAATCGATCTCTCAAAAAATCTTCAAATCTAATATTTTTAAGTTGTCTCTCTGTAAAGTTCACTAAATTTGTTTTTGGGGGTAAGAATGACCCCCCAAACCCTTATCCCCCCTTTTAAGGGGGTAAAATGACTTTTTTTGCCCCCTCCCGAAAAACGAATTCCGCCATAGCCCCTGTGGGCCGCCTAGGCAGGCACCTTTTACCGCCTTATTGACCACCTAATCGGCCGCCCGACCGCCTAGGCGGGCGCCTAGTTTTGGCGCCTAACAAGTACCGTCTTAAGAACGCCTAGGCATTTTTTTAAAATAGCCTCCTAGGTGGTCAGGCAGCCGACTTTTTGAAAATTGATCACCAAGAAGCCATATTTTAGGGTAAAAAAAATGAGTTTCTAAACAAGTGACTTTCTTTGCTATCGCAATGCCCGCCTGGGTGAGCAACTATGCGACCGCTGATGCACATATGTGTTGTCTAGGTGCGCGCATCATGCATGCTTGCCTAGGTGAGCAAAAGCAGTGAAAGGGCTGTGTTACCTTGACACAGCCATATAATGTGGTATACTGCCGCATTTGATAACTATGACACCTATCAAACCTATTATGTTATCAGTAGCTGAAACAAGAATACAAATTAAGATTTTTTAGTACCTAAAATGTCAATAGAGCTTTGGAGGGAAAAAAATTTACCCTGAATTGTGTCCCATCTTTATCAAATGACAGAATTTTTCTACTTGAACTTGTATCATGTTAACCAAAGTGCACGATGTTAAAAGAAACCAGCAAGTACTCAGTGTGTGTCCCGTTTTATTGCAATGAGATCATTTGGGATTTCATTTTAGACCTAGATCTTCCGCATTTCATAATTGACATAAAGGACATTACTCTTCTTTCCTCAGTCATCAATAGACATGATAAACTAACTAGAATGATCTTCATGTGTTTCTATTTAGGTATAGAACAATACTAATGATCACCATGTACTTAAAACTGGTAAACAATGAAAATGATCCTTAATCAAATGAAGATGGACTTTCACAACAAAATTCTAAAACATACTTTCTTCAAATCTTCTTACAGTAAAACTATTTAACACCTTAGCAATGAAAATTTGAAATGGGATGTACAAGACTGCAAGTATTCTATGAACCTTGAGGGTATTATCTCCATAGAGTTTGGTTCTAGGTGATGACCATACGGACAAATATCAGTTTATGGCTCACAGTTAAAGAAAGATCGGAGCAGACTAAACCTTGTTGTCATAGCCTAGTATGACTACATCGCACCCTAATTTCAAAGCTTCCTTCTCTCTTTCTCTTGTATTAAACTATCAGACACAATTTAAGATCATCAATTACTGGTGCAGCTCAAGGCGCCAGGGGGGTCCAATGCACCATGAGGCTCAATGTGGCTGCAATGCAGGCACATCAGTTCATATGTGGGCAACAAATATAAAGAAGTTCAAAAAATTATAAAATTTATAAAAACACATGATAACACAATTATGTCTCTATTATATAGGCTGTTTCATTTATTTCGTGTTTCAATTCACTTAATGAGATTTTGTTTTGCTTTTTTCTTGTTTTATTGGCTTTTTCATGATTTCGTAGAAGCCATAAAATTCTTTATTTTCTTTTGGATGGGTTAAACTTTCAAATTATTCTCTTAGTGTTTTTAGTTTCTCAAACTTTCAAATTATTCTTAGTGTTTTTAGTTTCTCATTTTGTTCGAGTAGTATTGGTAGTAGTATTGGTAGTAGTGTTGTTATTGTTGTTATCGTTGTAGTTGTTATAATTGTTAATAGTAGTAGTAGTAGCAATAGTAATAACATTAACAGTAGTAGTAGTTGTTTTTATTGTTGTTGTTGTTGTTGTTAATGTTGTCTTTGTTGTTATTATTATTATTATTATTATTATTATTATTAGTAGTAGTAGTAGTAGCAGCAGCAGTAGCAACAGTAGCAATAGCAACAACAGTAGTAGCAGTAGCAGCAGTAGGAGCAGTAGTGTAGTAGCAGTGGCAGCAGCACTAGTAGAAGCAGTAGCAGCAGCAGTAGCAGTAGTGCAGTAGTAGTAATAGTAGCAAACAATCATGTTTTAACATAACCAAGGTTTGGCACAATAAAGTTATGATACAAAACTTGGTTTTGTTTACGCATGGAGCCAAACAACCCATAAGAAGTCAACTATTAGTGTTACCACAAACTTCAATCAGCAAATTTCCACCTTGATGTCATGCATCCTTTGGGACCATTGCCAATTGGAAAAATCGGTTTCATTTTCACAATCTCTAAGGGCGTGTTTGTTTTTCAGAAAGTATTCTTTCAGATTTTTAAAAAGTGTTGCGTTTGTTTCACACTTTCCATAAAAGTTCAAAAACTAATGTTTCAACAAAAGTTCCTATTCTAATAAGTTCCTAAGGA